CGCCCTCATTGTGTGAAAGGACAAATGGTGCGTGACGTGACAGAAAACTGTAAAAAACACAACAGTGCTAACAGCCGGGCTGCAACTCACAACAACGTTCATTATTATTAATCAACTAATCGATTATTTGTTCCGTCTGTAGGACACGCAGCCTAAAATGACGTCTTCAATTGTATTTTTTTCAGCCCAAACCTCAAAAATCTTCAATTAACAAATATATAAAAAGAGAGAAAAGCAAATGTAAACGACTTCGATTAATCGTTAAACTCAATCAACTAATCGAATACGTTTTTCTGCTTTCTTGCTCCAAATCATGCACGATAAAGGTTTTCAGACACACACACACACACACACACACACACACACTTTTACTGCACAACATTACATAGAGCTGCCATTATCGGTAGAGCATACAGCAGATATTTCACTTTTAGTAATCCCTCGAAGAAAATGATGATTGTGAGCCTTGAATGAAGAATTGCCGACAGCATTGGACTGCTTTGAAAGTAGCCAGACATCATTTTTACGAGATTTTTTTAGATTTTCTCATGCATGTAACTTTTCATCAAAGTCCTGTGGTACTGCCTGTGTCCAGCGGGCTTCACAGTGGGCATTAAAAGGTTAACTCTATTTAATGAAGCAATCAATACTGTAAATATGACCTAACAAGTTTAACAGTGTGTCCCTCTGTGTGTCTTTACATTACGCCACAACTCCTTAAATTGTGATTTAGCAGCCTTTAATGCTTTTAATCTCCGTGCTCGCTCCAGGCCTCTGTGATAAAATGCTCTCCGCTCTTTGGTTCAGGAATATTTATGGTGTTGGTGGTGGGCGGGGGTGTCTTACTAAAGAAGGGGTTTTTAGTTTGAGGAAGAGGGCTGAAAAACAGGAGGGGTGAAGGGCCAAGTGTGCCTTAAAGCTAGGTGGGGGGGCCAGTAGAGGGTGGAGGGTCAAATGCATTTACAATCATGAGATTGCGGTGGCAAGCTTTTATTTGTTTTCTGGCCCTCCCCTCCTTTATTCATCCTCTCTCTGTCCTCCCCCTCCCTCCCCCCCCACCACCACCACACAGGGCCTGAATCAGGCACCTCAGCCTGTCTGTGTGACCTTGTGTACCTGTTGTTTTGTTGTAATGTCTGCCATTGAGCCAGGTGTCTGGTATCCAACACGCTCATTTACCCATCGCGACGGAGGGAGACAGAACAAACGGATGAGCGTCCAACCTGTCTCTTCTCTCGTTGCTTGCCTCCTTTTGTGTTTTCTTTTCTAAGAGACAATCCAGAATAGCTCATATTTACCCGTAATCAGCCTCTTGGCAGCTTATCTTTAAACCCACATTTAAACAGTTTTATTCTTCTTTGTCAGCATTTATTGAATGCTTTCATTATACAGCACTCTGCTGTAAATCAGCTGGCTAAAACACAAGGTTGTAATAGAGAGGGTGGTGTGTGTTAGTCTTGTTTGTTTTGCCCCTGGCAAAGGCAGATCTCAGTTGTGATTTGTAAAGACAGTAAAAGAACAAGATACAGCCATTATGATGCTGTGTCTCATATTCTGTCAGGAAAAAGTGATTCATAATGTGTTTGTATGAGAGGAACAGTGAAAGGAAGAGATGAGGACATCTTGGGCTGCTATATATCGCTGTGTGCCTTAGCTTCGTGTAGGTTGGAGCCATGTTTGATCTCCTGCTAGTTGCCCACTCCCTGTAGAGATAGCATTCATGTTAGTGGAGCAGGAGTTCCGACGCCCGGTCTGATAGCATTATCAGACAGGTGTTGAAAATGATTCACCTGTTCACCGTGTATGCAGGTGTACAGTAGGTGTGGGCCTGTGCATGTGTGACTGTGTGTTGAGTTAACATGTTCTGTTTGTTCCCCAACCCTGGACTGAACCCAAAGCTAATTCTGTCTGAATTACATTTGGGGAATGTTTTAATGCACTTTTTGTTTTCCAGTGTGAAGTGAGTCCCGTGTGTGTGTGTGTGTGTGTGTGTACGCAGCTAGCTCCAGGGCGTGTTCAGCCTATATGAGTAGAAAGACAAGTAGCAGGGAGCAACAGCTAGCTTCCCTCTGTCCTGTGGGAAAATGCACCGAGCCAGCTCTTCTAAAGCTGTTGTATACACGTTGTTTATTTGTTTAACCTGTAAATTCACAAAAATGTAAAAACTACAATTTGTGGATTTATCGTTCTACATGAAAAATATCCAGTGGCCCACTTCTGTGCAGAGCTAGCGTGGATAGTTAGCTCATAACTGCCCATAAAACCCACATATTTATATTTGTGTGTGTGGGAATAAACAAACAGGATTCAACATGTTATTTTGTGAAATTTAGAATTGTTGACAGATGTATTTTTTTTTTTTACCTTTTGACAGGCAGGCTAACTGTTTCCCTATGACTTCAGCCTGTAAGCTAAGGTTAAACCTGCCCTGACTTTAGCTTCAACCTTAATGCACAAACATGAGACGGCCATCGTCGTTGATACACCAGGATCCTGAGCAGCAGAGGAGCTGCAGAGATCTGCTGTTCACCTCTCTGTTGTCATTATAGCACTACAAAAGCACTTCTAGATTAACCCTTTTTAGACAAATAATGGCCACCGAGAGCTACGCTACACACACACACACACACACACACACACACACACACACATTCACTCAGACATTTGAAATAAGCACATGCATGCATGCTTTCACCCCTGTATAAACACACATGCACATTTGCACGCATGAATGAACGCTTCCAACCACGCTCACACACAAAGTTAACTCACACACATACAATTCCACAGTGTTTGTGTAGAAGTAAACCCCCCCCCCCAGGCTTTTCTAAGGACCTTTCCTGTCTCTCTCTCTGCTCTACTTCTCCCCTCTCATCCACCCCTCCCTCCAGACACACACACACACACACATATGATAAGATGATGCCAGATGGCGCTGCAATGCATAGACATACATACCCTTCCTCTCTCTCTCTCCCCCTCTCCCTCTCTCCCTGTGTCCGTCAGTGGACACACTGTACCACCGCTGAGTGTGTCCCCAGGGGGCAGAAAAAATATTCTCTCGGCCTAGTTAGCCGCTGCATGCGCATGTGTGAGCTGGTGTTTGTGTGTATGTGAGTGTGTGCACGTATCTGTGCGCTCTCGCTCGCGCCGGAAGCAAAGGCGATGATGCACGCTGTCGGAGAGGGAAGGAGAAATAATGTATGTGTCTGTATGTTTGAAAGACAAAGAGTGTGTGTGTGTGTGTGTGTGTGTGTGTGTGTGTGTGTGACAGAGATAGAGGGAAGAAGAACTGGGAGACATTTTTTTTCCTTCTGTGAGAGCTGGCAGCCAGTGTGTTTATATATATAAAACTGATTATACGTTGAATTTTTTCCCCCCGCTATTTCATTTAGTGCTCTTTGTTAATTATGAATCGACTGTGCCTTGCCACCGGTCTCCTGTGTGAAGGCTCCCCTGCCGCCCTGCGGTGGCTGTCTTTGTAGTCAGAAAAAAAAGCAGTCAAAGCCTTACGCTGGTGCTCAGTCCTCACTGGGAGAGCAGAGTGTGGTGCTTTCAGTATCATTGCTTTTGTAATGTGCCGATCTTAGGCTCTCCACTACTTTCTTCCAGGCAAAAAGGTAAAAGTTCACTTGGAGACATGTTTACAGTATGTACCTTGTACAGGCTGGATGCAGGTTTCTGAGGCAAAGGCAAAAGGAGAGGAGAAAAGGGAACAAACTAGTGTCAAAACATTTTGTTGATTTTCAGAAGTTCGTTCACAGTTTTGATCTTCTATTAATAATTTAAGTAATTTATCAGGCAAAAATGTCAATCAGTTTGCTGCCTTACTCTCATTTATATAATTGTAAATGTCAAACAATTACAAGATGTCTTCCTGAGAACCGATTCATTCCTAAATAATGAGTCTGAATGAACAATAGGGACAATTATGTTTAACGAAAAGCAGCAAATCCTCACAGCTGAGCAGTGGGAACCGGGTAATGTTTGGTATTTGTGCTTGAAAAACGTCGATTAATCGATTATCAGAATAGTTTCCGACTAATTTTCTGCCGGTCAACTAATCGACCCATTCTTTTGGTGCATCCTCACCCACCAGACGCACACAGTACCACAAGTACATATGATCAACACGGTAAAGCTAAATGGTCCCACTAGATATTCCCACCGTTTTCATTAGTCAGTATTAGCAATGCGTTCCTGACTTATTTACTTGCAGTATTCACAGCATGCCATAAAAAGCCTCCAGGGCATCCATGGTTAACATTTCAAATTGTATTCAAGCGTGGGGCAAATTCGTTTAGCAGATAAATACAAGGTTTCACCTCCAACTCAAGCTCCAACTGTGAATGTGTGTGCGAGAGAGTGTGTGCAATCACAGGAATGCTGCAGGGGCTCTCAGTACTCGGAGACTAAATGGCAACATTATTTTACTTTTGGGAAGAATTTAGGGAAATTCAACTACACTTCCAGACAAACCCCTCCAGGCCCTGTGTCTGAGTGTGTGTGCGTGTTTCTGCTGGTGCTCCTGTTGTTGTAATTTTGCTTCACCAAGCCGGGATTTTATTGTTTTTTAATTTTCTGTTTTGTATGCCAACGCTGTTCTTCCATTTCCCTCGCATCCGGGAAGTGCGCGGCATTCTCCTCATTTATCCGCTTAATTATTCTTCCTTTCCGTCACTGCCACAATGCTGAAGAAGAGCTCAATGATTTCATCTTCAGATATGGGGGTCACTTTGCCCCCCCCCCCACACACACATGCATACATCACACAATCCGCCATTATCCTTCATCATCTAAAATTAATGGACACAATCAGTAATTACCACATCAATAATTAAGCCGACTTCTCTTTTTTTTGTGCAAGATATGGAGAGGCTCAATGGCAAACACTCCAATCCGAAATGCATAATGAATGACTTATCATCAGTTTTTCTGCAGCTGACTAATATCCTTCTCTCTCTGCCCTTGTTCCCCGCCCTCCCTGCCTCTCCTTTCAGATTCGTGCCAGGCCAAGGTGTGGTATTGTACCCCCAGATTGGGGATAAGTTGGACATTGTGTGCCCACGTGTGGACGGCGGGGTGCCTGATGGCGTGGAGTATTACAAGGTGTACATGGTGCCCAGGGAGCAGCTGGAGAGCTGCACCATAACCAAGGCCGACACGCCGCTCCTCAACTGTGTCAAGCCCGACCAGGATGTCAAGTTCACCCTCAAGTTTCAGGAGTTCAGCCCCAATCTGTGGGGCCTGGAGTTCTTCAGAGGGAGAGACTACTACATCATCTGTAAGTACATATCTCTCCCTAGAGGGATAATAAATTAGGCCTTGCATGATTTAAGGGGAGGAACAGATTCAACAGTTCAGTAAGGTTTAAGAATCAGCAGTTAGTGACATACCTCAAATTTCTTGGTCTAGTTTATTGTGTGTTTGTGCACTTTTCTTGTTCTAGTCAATATCTGCTCCAACAGACAGAGTGAATTGCAGTGCTGACCTCACTTTGGGGTATCATTCTTTCAAGACTCACCATTTCGTAAAGTTGCTTGCAGTCACTGTTGCCCTCTCCGCCTACACACAGTTCAATGCAAGTTCACACCTTCCCTAGATGTTGCTGATGGACATTCTGAGATATATAGCACATAAACTGAAGTACATGAGGCTGAGGTTGAGATTGAGGGGGAAGTTGACGAAGCTTCATTGACAGATAACTCTGAGAATTTCTTGAACATCACATATTGAGGCTATCCAAAGGCGGGGTTTTCCCTAGAGATGCGACAGATGTAAGCATGAGCAAACGCTCCATTTTAAGTTACGCTAGACGTCCATTCAAAGGAATCTGTAGTGTTCTCAAAGATTCCCCCTCTGGGATTTGCTTCTTGTATAAATAAAGCCTCTCTAGCATGATCCAAATGAGAAAGTGAGAGTCTTAAAGTCAAACCATTTAAAGTTTTAGGGAAACTTTACAAGCAGTAGTTGTGATGCTTAAAGACTTCAGTATGTTTCAAACAAACCCGTAGCATTTCGTCACAGTCAACCTTCTCTTGGCTCAGAAATGACTCAGCATCCAGTCTCACGGTGCAGGTGTGGCTACTCTGCTTTGCTGATTGCCTCTGATGTACTAACGCAATCCTGGGAGGAAGTTCTGATGGGGTTTAGCGCCGGCCCCCTGGTTTGAAACATGGGAGGTGGACTGAACCATCTGTGTGGCGCTGATGGGGGGTGCGCCGCAGATAGGACCATCTGTGAGGCTCTGCCACAGCCATCTGTGAGCTGTCACAGTAGTGGAAGGCCATATTTCTGACTGAGTAGAAGGAAGGGGAAGAAAAGAGAATGAAGTGGGGAGGAAAGAAGACCAGGAAATACAGAGTCTTATCCAAACACTCTACTATGGTAGAGGAAGTGGAATTTTGCAAAACAAATGTGCAAGGACACGCCGTACTGTATAAATCCTACTATAAACTGCCTGCAGTAGACGATTCCTGCAAATTTAAATTTTCATCTGAGCTCCACAGCACTCTGAAATCCCGCAGAGAGATCTGTCAGGCAGCTGTTTGTGAAAAAACAGGTTCGCCGACACAATATGCTCATTCAGTTCTACTTAAGTTAGTTTAAAAGCAAACAGGCAACAGTGGCTGCTCTGTCACTAATGTGTCATAGCTGCAGGATATTTGCATGGCAGAGCATGTCTTGCTGTGTTAAATTCTAACAGGTACTTCTGTGGTCTCGCAGGTGAATTCTGGCAAATACAGCAGGTTAAAAGTCTGCTGGCAAATAAAGTATGTGACTGGGGTGGATGCACACACTAACACACCTGTGCAGGCGTGCACGTGCGTGAGCGTCCACACCCGCACAAACCATTAGATGTGGTATGTGTGAGTGTGTGCTGAAGGACTACAAAGGCTTCTGGCTGAAGAGGCGCAGACACGATCACCCTCCCCTCGTCTCCTCCTCGGCTCCCTCCACCCAAACCCTGTAGTTAATTATTGATGAGACGGTGCTGGTGTTTACTTACCCCGGTTCTCCCGGTGCTCTGCATGCACTCCTGCCGCCGAATGCGATCACATTGCAGTGGATCAGAATCGGAAGAGAATACCGGGTTAAGTTCAGGTTAATGAAGAACATGGATTAGAAGGTGCAGGGTAGACCACATAACCCTGGTTTGGAGAGACATGTGTGCGAGGGCAAACACGCTGATAATGCACACAAACCTCGTCCCTCAGGAGACTGGAGCTGCAGCCTGGAGCAGCTTTCCTGTGCACACACAGCTATATCAATACATACGTCCTGTGACAACAACAGTCCTCCCCACTATCTGTCTGTCTATAATATGTATTTCTCCCAGCGCCTCTCTATAAAGCCTGAGCAGACGAGAATATTCAATTTCCCACCGCCTCACTAAAAGCCCTCCTCTTCATCAGCCTGCCGAGTCGACAAGTTGGAACAGAAAGAGCGGTGGGAAAGTTCAATTCGTAACTTTAAAAAGAAGGGTTGGAAAATCCAATTTTGCAGTTCTTGCAAATTCCCTTTTCCACCGACATCCCCACTCCTCCAGCATCCCCCCCCCCCCCCCTTCTGCCACCGCCACCACCCGCCTGCCTCCCTTCACCGCTACCCAAAATGCTAATGTGTAGCCTAAAGAGGGGAGAGAGGGAGCTATTTCTCCATTGGAGTGTGTCTCGTTTTGCTGTTAATTGCCTCTTCTTGGCTAACTCCGGCCCCCAGTTCTGCAGCTTTAACAGCCCACTGCAGTTGCATTGTGGCGCTATGTTGTGTACTTAGTGCTGTTCCTTTTTATTTTGAATCAGCCGCTTGGAGAAGCTCCAGCCGTGCATGGGTAAACACCAGGAGTGAAGCGCAAACAAACACTGAAAAAGAAAGAGAATGAGAGAAATGCGCAGAGGTGTGCGTAGGTGGAGTCAGATTCATGGTTGTTTTTACCTTGCAGTGTTGGAGCGAGCCAATGTGTAAATCTTCGCCTGTGGGTGTAACTGAGTGTCTATGTGTTGGGTGAATAACGTATGGGAGTTAATAGACACATACATGCTCAGGGCTTGACTTGCCCTGTGTACTACTGTGTGTGTGTGTGTGTGTGTGTGTGAGAGTATGTGTGTGTCCGACCCCCGCCTGCCCTCCAGCAGCGCTGTCCAAGATCCGTCGGAGTGTGACACCGCCTCAGAAAGTTCACTGTGAGGATTTCATTAGTCTTTTGGAGTGAGCACTCGATACGTAATTAATTAACCAGCGTTTAATCCTCCATTTCTTCTCACAATTGCCAAGGCCCCCACATCAATGCTACGGATCTCAACCAATTGGATTAGCGCTGGCTTGTGTAGAGTATTGTGCCAAGGCTAGACCTAGATTAGATGGGTATGCTCGACCACCCCCCCCAACTCCAAACCCACCTCTTTAGATTCAAACAACAGTGACATCAGGCCTCAGCATTTGACTGCCTCATCCTGTAACTGTCCTGTAGCGAGGACTGACAGGCAGTCAGATCTGTCTCCTGTGCACCAATGGGGAAAGAAAAGGATACATGTGTGAAAATGCGTGTGTATTATATGGTGTGTGCAGTTTTGCATGTGGTTGTGAGTCTGCAAATTGTGTGTCCTGCGCCTACTTGCGTGCGTGGAAGGGGCTGCTGTATCTGCAGATTTCTGTCACTGGGCACATTTGTGTACTTGTGCATGTGTGTGTGTGTGTGTGTGTGTGTGTGCGCCTTTTTAAAGTGGCCGCGCACAATGCTGCTCCAGTTGAGAGCAGATGAGTCTGATGTGATTGTTTGGGGCAGCATGGCCTGCAGCCGAGAACCTAGTGAGCTAGATGATTACATGAGCTAAAGAGGGAGAGAGAGAGAGAGAGAGAGAGGGGGGGTGAGAGAGAGGGATGAATAAGGAGGGAAAGGGGGCAGAGGGAGTGACGAAAGCGAAAAAGAGCTAACTGGGAAGGGAGGGGAAGGAGGGAAAGGGGGAAAAAAAGAGCAAAGGAGAGTGTGGGAGAGGGAGGGAGCGGAGAGAGAGGAGAAACGGAGCTAAAGGGAATGGGGGCATAGCGAGAGACAGAACGAGAGAGATGAGCTAAAAAGGGCAGAAGAAGGACAAGGCTGAATTTACAGTCAGAGCAGACATGTGGAGGGAAATTTCATCAAGACTTTAATCACCCTTTGCCTCAGTCACAACAGAAAATAGTACCGTCACCTCCCTGTGACTCTGATTGTCGTGTGAATCCAACGTGAGCTCTGAGGGGGAAAATTCCCCTCATTAAATGTGACATGGATTTAAAATTTGCTTTTGGGGTTTTGTCTGATTTGTCTGATTGAAACTATCAGTTCTTTATTCACCTCAGTACTTGCAGGTTCACAGTGTCAGACTGGTGGTGGCATTATTATTACATGATGAGACTGTGGTGGCGGGATTAATCAGCAGCAGTCAGTGCTGCTGTGTGTCTGCGTGGGAAATATCTAAGTGGGGAGAAAGGTTAAAAACAAGTGGATCTTTTTTGTTGCCACAACTCAACTCACAACTGTAATTAAAGCACTCATCTCTGCTGTATTAATTGAGTGTTAAAGATCTAACTTAAGTGGAATTTTTTTTTTTAATTAATGGAATTGAAATGTTTGTGTTGTGTTTGAGCAGTGGCGGTTGTTAGTGGTAGTTATTAGACGGCTTTGGGTATTTGGGGTGACCCCACATTGCCCCGGCCTGTTTCTGAGGGTCACCCTGATCGCAAAGGCGCCCCCTGTCACAGGCGATTAGGGCACTGGGTGGTGACGGGTATTAACCAGCCCGTAACCCCAGCCCTGCGATGATGGCTTCACGCTCCACAGCAACCCGACGGATGGCAATTACTCTCTGCGTTTAGATCATAGCTGCCTTTGTCTCTTCCACTTCTCCTTCTCCTTCTGTCTTTCTGGGACACATCCTCATTCTGTCCATCCGTTCATTCTAATTCTCTCACTGTGAGCACTATACGTTCTCTCCCTTCCTATCCGTCTCTCTGAGATGCCTATTCAGTTGTTGCCATGCCTTTGCTCTGTTCCACTATTTATGAGTGGCCCAGCATTGTCTTTCGGCGGTGCATTGTGTATTAATTATACCCACAGATTTTGGCAATTGTAGCGAAGCAGCTTTCAAAGAGAAGTTTTCCAAGCTTTATACGGCTTTTCATGTTTTATAAAGCTCCTTTCTAGACTTTTTAAGTTAAATAAAGTATTGTAAAATGATAAATCTGAAATGCTAGGACATTAAGCTATCCTATTTAATATCCAATGAAACTAAAACATTAGCTTACAGCTAATCAGAAGCTTAGCAGAGAAATATTCATGCACTGGCATGAGGCATGGAGACTTAAAGGGGTGGCACAAATGTATGCAGATTTAATCACCAATCACATATATCAATATTTGCTTGGAAAAGAGCCCAAATGTGAACTCAAAAGCATTACATTATTGTGGAACATTAGTGAAGCATTGAATACAGAAATCAAAGTTGGAAAGAGATATATATATATATATATATATATAAAGATAGATAGAATAAATCGTTTTATTACCTATTTTAGTCTTTTCTCCCTGAATTTAAGCCTGCCAATTAGTCTAAAATGTGACTAAATTATATGTGTTAATTCTAGTTTAATTAAATAAAAATGAATCTAAATGAATATGTTCGATTTGACACCAAAGGGCTGCTGCCACCCCTCTGGATCCGCCCCTGAAGCTTAAAGCTAATCAAAGCTACTCTAAAACTAGCTCTACATGCTAGCACAGATATCTGTAGTATTGAGAGTTTTTTTCCTCCATTTGCTGGTTACATTAGGAGAAAGCAGGAAATGGAGATAAGAGCTCACAGTCTTTATCTGGATTGCAGCTCACAATTGACTGTCTCGTTAAACACAGGCTGATTTTCCACTCTCTTGATTTGATAAACAGGAGAAAATTAAGTTAAGGAGGGTAAATTAAGTTAAGGAGGGTAAATTAAGTTAAGGGGGGGGTGAGGACGGCTGGGGGTGGGTGAGTTGTGGTGTGTTTACAGCGCGGGGGTGGGATTGCGGTTGGAGTGCTGCGTGCTCGTACAGGTGGGTCTGACACACACGCACGCAGGCAGACGCTCAAAGCGAGGACACTTCCTTGACACACTCCTACCATTTGTTTGAGACTACATGTGACTTGTGTGTGCTTGGAGTAGTGAGTGTGTGTGTGTGTGTGAAAGAGAGCTGGAACATTTTTTACAGGCCCACTCAAGCTGTCACTTTGGTCTCAAGCGGTACTTTGTCACAGCCGGTGAGTGATTTTTCCTGATGGCCTTTTTCCCCCGTTGTGGAGCCTGTTTTTGCATTTGTGTGTGTATGAGACCAGTCTTTCTCAGCCCCCCCAAAAAACAAAAAGCCCCATCTGAACCACATCGCCTGCTCGTAAGCAGTGAGAAGATTGACTCAGTAATTCACAGTCAGGATGGAGTGAACGGTGAAGGAAAATCAGACGTAGCTTTTCTTTTTCTTGTACTTTTTCCCTTCTTGTTTCTCACTCTTTGTTCCTCTCCCGGGGTCCCTGCAGAAGGTCGCACGCACGCTCAAGTAGCGGGTTAATCTTTCTCACTATTTTTCTCCTTTTTCCTTCTTGTACTCCCCCGCCTCTCTCTGCCCCCCCCCTCCCCACTCCCTCCCTGTCTGTGAGTCTTATCTGCAGCGCTGTAATGCCAACGGTAGTTGGTGACTAAATCCATTTGTGAGGGTCTTGTATGAACCAGGTCTATCCCACCCCCCTCCTCCAGTGTGTTCCCCCAGCATTACGGATTAGCTGGTTAACTCTAGCCAGCTAGTCTGTCAGCCTGGCCCTTGTCTGGCTAGGCCGAAGAGGGCCAAGTCATTCAGCCAGCCTTAGCCGATTCAACAATCACATTCTGTTTAAATCCAAGTCAGGCTTGCCTGGACTGCAGCCTTGGCATAGTGAGTGTGTGTTTTACTCCGCATTTAAAGGGGAAGAAGAATTGAAAGTTTAAAATGACTCCAGATTGAAGGATATTTTCCAATTTCTTTTAAATGTCAAGGAAATGTTGCAGCCAAGTTTAAAAAAGATCTCTTTTTGGAAGCTTGACAAGGAGGATGTCTCTGTGTTTTCTGTCTTTGGTGCAGATGGGTGTCGATGTGTTAAATGATTTAATAGGGCAAAGGGAAAGATTGAAAGAGGAAGGGAAGAGAGCAAAGAAAGGACGCAACACAAATGGCGATATGTGTGACAGTTGAGACTTTAATACACCTTCTGTGCAGTTCACCGCCCTTCACACCCAGTGAACTCTGACCTCTCGGGCACAAGTGGGTCTGAGCCCACATGCACCTCCACATCCCACGTACCCCATGCCTCAAACCCACCAGCACAAACACCGTCATCCTGCCAATCACGCAACAAAGTCAACAGCATTAAGATGACTAATGACATCCTGCAGGATTGTAAAATTCATGTGTGTTGTGCTAACAGGTTTATGAAATGAACACACGCTCGCGCGCATACACACGGGCACAGGAGCGCAAGCCTTTAAGAAGCTTTGTCTGTAATGTGCTTTTCGGTCTCCACTGGAAAGCCATAGGTCAGCTAGAGAGGGAGACAGGGGGAGAGAGGAGGCGAGATGGAGGGTGGGAAGGAGGGAGGGAGTCCTTGTTAACATGCTCTTTGTGTCCGCTCCCATCACCGTCTAATTGAAGCAAGGGGATTCGGATCTAAATGATTGGTAGCTGGGAGGGCGGAAGAGGAAGGGGGGAGGAAAAGAAAAAGAAAAGGGACTGGGAGGAGGAGAAGGAGAAAGTGTCAGACTATGCAGGGCTTAATTTTTCAAAGCTATTTCAAACAGGATCCCGACCGAAGCACCTGCCTTTCACTTCCCCTGCAGTTGATGGAGACGCTCCGGCTGCAGCGGGAATGGGAGGGGTCAAGGTAACGGCGTGGAGAGGGGGGGGCGAGTGCGCTCAGGGGTAAAGGGGTTTGGGGAAGAAGGTAGTGGCTGCAAGGTGGCCGGCCCAGAGAGGAGGAAACTGGGGATGATGGGGTGTTGTTGAAGGGAGGGTTGAGAGAGGCCGGGGAGGAAGCAGAGGGGAGGGGACGGGAGGGGGGGGGCAGTCATGGTGAATGCGGGCCACTGCGCGCTGGCGGGAAGCCAAGCCGCTAAGCCCTGGCAGCTCGTTAGCCTCTGTGTTACTGACCTGATAGACCACAAGCCCTGCTACCCCCACCTCCCCTCTCCTCCCTGCCTCCCTGTCCCACTCTTGAGCCACGCTAGCTGCAGTTCTGCCCGGCAGCCTCCAGGGGCAGCGCAGATAAAAGCAGACGGAAAGAGAGGCGGGGCGGCGGCTAATGGGCTTGAAAGCATCCAGCTGATTGAGCTGTGGCCGGGGCAGCTCGCTCGTTGGATTTTGTCCGCGTGTGTGGGCCACATCTGTACAAGTTTGACACAAGTAGAGATTTCTTTTATCAAAGTGCAGTTTCCGTTTTTAAAAGGCCCCTGCAGCATCTGCTCACAGGGCCCGTTTTGTTCCTCCTGTCACATGTGGGACGTCTTGCACCGCCCCACCAGACTCCTCTCCCAACATCTGCTGCTGTCCCTTAAACACAGTGTTTAGCAGTGCTCTTCTGTTTTCTCCTGTGTTTAAATGTTTTTTTTAGATCCTTTAAACTCTTTTCATCTAAGGGCCATTGAGGTATTTATCACCTCCCTCTGTTCCCTTAATTTCACTGCCTCTCCTGGAAAAGTGCTCCATTTTTTAAAAACCATTTCTCATCCCCTCCTGTTGACACCCCTGAATATTTTTTTCTTCATGTTGTCAGCAGATCTCTCCTTCTTCTTAAGCCTGGCAGCAAGTTTGGCTCTCAGATCTGAGCATTTGAGGGCTTTTAAAATCCAAAAGTGTGTTCTTTAATAACTGGCTACCACTCTCTGGAGTGTCGTTAGCACTAATGCACGATAAGCCGGCGAATTTCCCGCGGCTTGCCAAGATGGCCGCTGTCATCGCAGTCATCGCTGTTTCCCCTCGCTCAGTCTCCCCCCTCTCCTCACCTCCCTTAACTGCCTCCTTCACGAGGCCCATCAGCACAGTTAGAGATATTACAGTCACAATTACTCAAGCTAATTGACTTTGGGGATGTGAAATATTCCGCCGGAGCGGAGCGACTGAGGTGATGAACGGGTGAATTGTGATTTTATTAAAGGGAGTATGACTCATATCCTTCCTCAGCGGAAGGCTTTCAGTGCCTCTGTTGTCTTTGGGAACTGGCTGTTTTTTCGAGATAGGCTTAAGGCATATATGGCAATGCAATTTCCCCAACACATCTTCTCTGTACCAGATGCTCGCAGTGACAGCTAATTCTAACCTTGTACCTCTCTCTGTGTCTGCTGTAGCTACATCTAACGGCACCATGGAGGGCATCGACAACCAGGAGGGGGGAGTGTGCAAGACCAAGTCCATGAAGATAATCATGAAAGTGGGACAAAGTGAGTATTGTATTATTGAATCATGGTCGTGAGTGCCTGCAGGCATGAGCAGGCAGCCACAATGCAGTGCTCGTACAGTCTGTAATATTGTGTGAGTCTCTGAAAATGCCCTAATAAGGTCATAGGAGGCTGTGCGGCACACAGCTCCATCGTCTCCATGACACCTGGGGCTGCGAGGGGGCAGGAGATGTAATCTAGCGGAAGTTCTAATGCGCCGAAACATACACACACACTCATACACATACAACACACACACACACACACACACACACACACACACACACACACACACAATTGCGTATGCTTGCACGCACACATGCATGGAAAGCATCTGCTGTTACACACTCTCAACTAGAAGGCTTTCTACACATGCAAATCTCATTTAGGTGCACACAAACATGCTCATGAGTTATGACCCTGTACACCTACACATTTGCTGTCCCTGACTGCACAATCTACACACCGCAACTGAAGCACACACACACTATACGTAGAGTCGCACCAGGCAGCCCAGACCCTGTTCTTAATTATAGCAATACTTATTCATAAATCAGGTGCCCGGCTGCCACCGGGAGTGGTAATTTCCTGGGGTTGACCCTCTCGTCAGCACCAGCTTCAGAGCTATTGAGAATCGCTGAAGGTCAGGGAATTAATCGAAGCTGCTGCACTCCGAGGAAGAAAAGAACAGGTGCTGAACGGGGCTGGAAATTGGTTCTGCGGCTTAATAGTAGTGAAAATCAGCTCCGGCGTCGAGAAGAGTTGCTTACAAATCAGTAGATTTATTCAATTAAATTGTACTATTAAGTGTAGTTTCAGTACGGTTGAGCTCGGCGGCGCTCAGTTCAACCCGAGAGCACTCGTGATTATAACAGCAGATGCTCTGTGAATTACTGCACCATTTAGCGTGACTGTTTAGGAGTCTGCTCAGCATTAGACGAAACAACCACATTTTTTGCAGTTTATAGAACAAAACAGACTCATTGCAGAACCAAAAACAGCCTTTAGCTACACTTTATGGCTGCTCAGAGTAATATCAGATCTTGAGATACGGTTTGCTTTTATGTGCTTTTAGGTGTTCAAGGAAGCTGCTTTTTAAGATAAATTAATCAATGCTCGCTTAAAGGAGAGCTATCTTAGGTCAGTACTCTCATGCCCGTATGTATGTTGAAAGAGTTATTGATCACTGTAATTGTCCCTCTTGTCCATACTTGCCATGAAGCCAAATTTACATTGATGGAGGGCAAAAGCCATAGTACCTGTCCCATGCAGTAATGCATTCTCAGGTTCAGCTGAAGAGTGTCTAAACACGAGCATAAACAACCATGACACACACTGCAAAGAATTCCCCATTAATTCCTATGTATCTGCATTTTTTTCAGATCCCTCTGACCCTATTTCACCCAAAGACAACCCCACCAGAGTACCCTACCCTCCCAAGCACTCAGATGGCAAGGACTCCCACAACCCCAACGACGTTCTGGAGAAACCAGGTGAGTCCACCTATATGCAGCTTAAATCCCGGGGAGGTGGTAATTGAGTGGAGGATTTATTGAGACGATTGTTCAGCCAGCTAAGAGAAGATAGCGCTAAGTAAGCGTGTGCGCGCGTTTGAGTCACTGAGGTGTGTGTGTGTGTGTGTGTGTGAAAGTGAAGGAAAGAAAGGTCAGCGATTCATCAGCCAGTAATTGAATGTTGCCCATAAAACTGATAGGCATCTCCGGCCTCTCAAGGACTTATAAGGTATCTCCACGCTGGCCCCATTCCAGCCTTAACCCACCGCTTAAGTGACATTTTCAGGAAAATGATCTGATCGCTGTCTGCCATCTTTTTAACGAGCTGTTCTTAGTACAGACACACACTTGTTTCTGCCCCGAATCACAACTCAGGCAGACGTGCAGCTACGTGCAGACCGCTCTTATCTCTGCTATTATATTGCAGTTAGAAATCTCTCAAGAAAAAAAATCAGACCGGCAATTTCCGCAGCGAGCTGTGTTCAGAGAAAAGAAACAGGAAGGGGCCAAGAACAAAAACAAGCTGACCTATATTAACAGTCCTCCAGTCCTTCCCCCTGTGTCCTGGTTCACTGAGGGCGTGGCCCCCACCTGACACTTTCTGTTTTCACTCCCAAATTCGTCCGACGTCGAGCATGCAAATCTGCCTTCCCGCCCGTTAAATCCATGTTGGCACCGTTCTCTGCAGACATCAGCATCTTGCTCTCTCCATTTTCCTGTCCTCTCTCGTTCTTTTTTATGTCTCATCCCTCCATCCCGGCCGCTAGCAGGAGCATATGGGCGTCAGAGTGCTATGGGCAGAGCGTCTGAGGCAGCATAATCCCCTTGTAAAACAACGGAAGGGTCCTTGCTTTGGGCTGCCTGCCATCCCGTATCCACTCCCCCTACCACAGCAAAAGCACTTTTAGGCCCTCAGGAGAACAGACAGGGACAGGGAGACACAGTAATCCTGCCTGCTCAGGGACCACACTTTGTCCCGGGGAGAACAGAAAACACTGGCCCCTGAGTGCTGGACGTGAACCAGAACTGTCCATCGCTGGGAGTCAGAGCACAGCTTGGCTTTCATAATTGATGTCTCATGATGACATCAAATATTTCTTTCTTATTTTCCTCCCTCTGGGGCTGTTAGTTAGAAAATGAAGTTACTTTTTATGTCTTTCAAAATGCAATTTGTCTAAGTGCCATTTGCCTGTATCTACGCCGGCCTTTGTATCTCCTATCAGGCTGCGCTTGCCCTAGTTTCAAGGTTGCAGTCTTCACCGGCTGAATTTGAATAGCCACCGATCGAATGTGACCTTTATACAAAAGCCGTCCATAGGCAGGCTTCACTCTCAGCCACTGTGCTGCTGGCCTGTTCGCTGCACCTTTACTGTGACATGATGAAAAGATTGCGATGAAAAGGGAAAGGCAGGAAAAGACACACTGCTTATAACACGTATTCTACCTCCCTTTCTTTCCTTTATACAGGCTATTATGCCTTAACTGAAGTGCTGTTTGGATTCCCCCCCCCACACACACACACACACTGGCCTAATATCAGAATTGTGAGGGCTGTCACAAACACATTTTTATGACTTTCACAATAACACAATAATCCCCAAATCACGCCCCCCTCGCACAGCGATTTGCCCGGATTTGAGCTTCAAAGCTTCAAACTCATTTTTATTCTTGACACCATGAAAGCCTGTGAGGAAAGACTGTCCGGAGCTGTACGCTGCCAGCCTCTTTGGATGATTATCACATCTGTAATGGCAGAGTACGGCTGCACCTAACGATTGTTTCCCTATGGTTCAGTCTGTCATCATTTTCTCAATTAATCGATCAGTTGTTTGGTCCATAATGAATGAAATCAGAGAATTTGGAAATCGTTTCTTGACTTAAAACGATTAATCAGATATCAAAATGGTTGAAGATTGGTTGAATAGTTTACAGCTAATTGATTAATCTACTATTCGTTGCAGCAGATAAACACAGAGCTCATTTTGCCGTTGTTCTGACCTCTCCTTCCCTCTGTCTTCCAGGAGTATCACCCAGAGAAAGCAACGAAAACGACAACGGTGGAAAATCCTCCAGCGTCATGGGCTCCGAGGTGGCCATCGTCGTTAGCATCGCGTCAGGCAGCGTCATCTTCATCATCATCATCATCATGCTGGTCCTGTTGCTGCTCAAGTACAGGCGGCGGCACCGCAAGCACTCGCCGCAGCACGCGGCCACGCTGTCTCTAAGCACCTTGGCCACGCCCAAACGGAGCGGAGGCGGCGGGAACAATAACGGCTCTGAACCCAGCGACATCATCATCCCGCTCAGGACTGCTGACAGCGTCTTCTGCCCGCACTACGAGAAGGTCAGCGGCGACTACGGCCACCCGGTCTACATAGTTCAGGAGATGCCGCCTCAGAGCCCGGCCAACATCTATTACAAAGTCTGAGGTGGAACTTTTAAAAACAAGAGACAAACTGGAACAATCCCCGGGCAGAGCGGGTTTTTGGTTTCGCCTGGCGCCGCCGGTACGCCCGCAAACACTCTCGCTCTTTCTCTCTCTGTGTCTCTCACTCTGTCGACTCCTCCTCCTCTCCTCTGATGTTTTGTCACTATTTTTTTTCTTTATCAAAGTTTTGCTGATACCTTGTCGCTCTGGTTTGGTCACAGTCGGTGCGGACGGTGGGTGGAGGGCCAGAGAGAAGGCTGCTGCTGCCACTGCTGCTGCGCTCTGGGGCTTTTGGGAAATAGAGAGGACGATCTCTTCTTTCCCCAATGTTGCTCCCTGTTTTGTTTTGTGCACTGCGGCCAGCGTTTTAGGGGAACTGTTGTGGGATCAGAAAGTTAGGCAGATGCACAGCGTGTTGTTTCGTTTTCTCGGATTGGACAGACAGACGGATGTATGGACGCGAAGGTTTCCTGTTATGAGAGGAGGGGAAGAAATTTTTGGCCTCACCTTTAAGAGAGACTACTGCTTGAAACAAGAGAGGGAAAGAGACAAAAAAAAAAACGAGTGAGGAGGAGAGGTAAAGGAGAATATGGGCTTACCATGAACTCACAAAATGGCTGCCCTCCCTCGATGCTCACTAGCCGGAGAGACTCTGTGGATTTACCAGCTGGACGAGGAAAAAGGAGAGAGATTCTCACACCCAATCCTCTCTGGGACTTTCCTGACTGACTCACGGAGATCACCCATTCACCCTGCCACCCACATCCTCACCATCATATAAACACACGTTCACCCACACGCACAGACACACTGTCTCACCGGTCAATGTGAACTGTTTGGGTTTGAGTGTGGATTACACCATTTCTCCTCATTCCCAGATATGTTTTCAGCAAATCACTTCTTTCAGATGTTACTTGAAGGTTTTAAAGATAAAAAAAACATTTTTGTACTGTCGACATTTACTGCTCTTGTTTTTGGTCGTATCTGGTTTTCATATCCTGGTGTAGTTCAATTGCAGATAGAGGTTTTCTTTTCCTTTAGTGACATGTCATATCGTACGTGACGTTCAAACACAAGTGACCCAAACAGTGGCTAGAAGTGGCGAGAGTGTGAAACAAAGGAGTGAGGATTTTTTTAAATTTTGCCAGGTCTGCCCAGGTGGCTCCTGGGAAGAGTGGAGGACTTTCATATACATAGAGCAGCACTTTTAACCCCTTTTTTGGTACCTCCACTCTTCGCAGTGGTCAGAGAGAGACACAGTGATAGCTAGAGATGGGAGAGCAGCTGTATCCCGTCAGATTTAGTAACGAGGGCTCACCTCAACTTCTCTAGAACCTGGGCTTTTCACATGGGCAGGTTTTAGGGGCAATAAATCCAATTCGCCTTACTGCCGTTTTTTTTCTGCATCAGGTGAAAGAGAGGCCCGAGATCTAGTTGAGGTTTGCAGATGGCTGAAACAGCTCTAGGTACTGTTATGTTTACCCCTAGGGGTCCAGTGATGATTAAGGGTGCCCAGAGGGCCCAAAATCAGCGTGACCGGTGCTCTCCTATTCTTGCTCAAAAAAAAAAAAAAAAAAAAGCACAGGGACATCTATTTACATTGTCACTGTTTCTCAATCTCCATTAGCATTTCCATATTGTGAGTTTTTCATTTACTTCTCTTTTTTTTTTTTACAAAATAGATGTACATTTAAAAAAAGGACATTACAAAGATGAAAAATAAAAAAATTAAATAAAAAGCAGAATTTATTTATGATAGACACATAGAGCACAGGTGTTGTCAGGCGGTATGGAGAAGAAGAAGTAATGTTAATATATTATGGTATAAGTGCACATTATGCAATCTAGGTTTTTGATTATTTGATATCTCTCCACCCACTGAGTCCCGTATTTTCATGAGCTCTCGTCCACTGACACAGGGCTCGGTCCTGGGAAGGAGGACCAGGGGAGGGCAGCCTGGGCCCCGGCCCTGAGGGGAGTAGAGTTATCTGACCCAAAATAGCTCACATTGGTGTACACAAGGGCAGAGTAGCTGTGTCTCCCACACTCACTCAGTGTAGCATCTCCCAAAGGTTAAATCCCATGAACACCCAGTGCCCCCGATTCTCCTCATACACACCCCTTCACGTTCTCTGTGCATGTGTGTACGTGTGTGTGTGTGTGTGCGCGTGTTGAGCAAGTCTATATTTCAGTGACTTCACATTCATTAATATCTTTGGCTTAGGATCACAAACGTGACTTAAGCAGCCCCCCGAGCATGTATCAGCCCATCATTAACATTGTCATTTGTTCATAAAGAACATGAAATTTCACCGAAGAGCCAAGCCTTGTATGATCTGAGGTTTGTGCCTCTAAGAGGCTACAAAATCTGCAAATATGCAATTCTTATTTATTTTTTTAATCAATTCTGAGAAAAAAAAACACCTATGGAAAGTGTTCTTAACCACTGAAAGATGTAACAACAAACAAATGACACAAAACTAGCAAAGTACGTCACACAAGCCTGCTGTTAGTTTTTGTTTCCTGCATTATTTGTAGTATTATTTTAACCTTTTCTGTTTTAACAATGTGCCGTAGTACAAAGGTAAACTGTGAAAAACAAAACCATTAAAAAGCATATATATCACACCTGAACAGGTATTTAAGAAAAGATGAAAAAAGACACACACACACACACATACTACAAAGAAATGGCTGTTTAGTTGCTGTCTGTCTGCGGCAGAATATGACAATCTTATTAGTTTCTTTGAATCTGACGTCCTTTTCTTAGCTGCCACTAACTCTCTCCCAACATTGACCGGGTTCGGCTCAACCTGTTATGAAATGTCGTAGCGATGCTGTGAGAGTCTTAGCACACGGGCTAGGAGAAGCACCTCAGGCTACTGTAAAATGCCTTGCTCGTATGGTCAGCCCTTGGTCACTTGACTCAGTAATTTTGCACCGTACTTCTGTAGGTAAGAAACTGTAAATACATTAATGTTTGTATTGTATATGGATCCTGGGTTGTTACAATAGCCTTATTCACCTTTTTAGGAAAGTAAATGGAAAAAAAAGTACAGAAAAAATGGAATACACTTCAGTAAAGCAGAGCATACTACTTTTTTGGTAAATAGCTTATGTAAATATTGACCAGAACCCAATAAAAACATTTTTTATAAACTCTTAAAGTAAGATGTTTTGTATAAAATTTGAATTTTTTGCTATGTATTTTAGCTAGCGCTCGATGGAAAGCCCGTGTCCTCCCCACTCCCTCCCCTTTTGCACTGTTTCCATGGTAATTTGGTTTAAAAAAAATGAGAGAAAAGTTGCCAAACCGACTGCTGCATATTTGTGCCATAAGTGTGTACCATAAATATTTATTGAATTAGTTTCTTTTTTTCCCTTTTTTTGTTCTGTTTATGATTTAATTTCAGTCCAGTTTGTAAGTAACACAGTATTATATTTGCATTGTTTGTTCGTCTACCCCTGGTTTTCTTTAGTCATGTCATGGTTACCGGGTGGCTGTAGCCCTGTTCTCCCCCTTCCTTGCAGTATGAGATGGCCAGGCTGTGAAAAATGGTTTTAACATTCAAAAATTTAAAACAAGTTCAAAGTGAGGATAAATGACACACATTCCACCAGTCTGTTACAAACTGAAAATGTTTTTCAATAAAATGTTTTTCCTATGGACGCGCTGTCTGTCTGCGTTGCTTTGTTGCTCTGCTTTCATACCGCATGAATAAATAATGTATTTTTTATTGTTTCACACAACTTGGCAGTAAAAGAGTTGATATGTCTCATTTACTTATTTTAGATGTTATTTATCTCAGTGAAGAAACACTCCCGAGGACATTCATACAATCCTCCGCTTAAGTCCCACTGTGGCCACACTGACACTTAAATATTTATATATTCTCATAAAATACTTAAAATCACATTTGCGCATTGAACTTTGTACTTTTATGATAACTGAAATCCAGATTTTTAATTTTATATTCGAGAAATATACCACACGGTCAAACACACACACACAAATATTACACTCATATCTAATAATTGACCATCTTATTCCAGAAACGTGGGCATTAATGTGCTGATACGGTCGACACTGATGGAGAACAAGCTGATATATCCTTCCATCTGGCAACTCATCATTGGAAACAGTTTGGAAAAGGGCAGGCACTTACAAAAACTACTTGGCAGGTGATTGGATACCATTTGTCCATCACCTTCTATCACCAACAAACTTCAACCAGGCAGATCAATGAACCATATAAGGTAGTCAAACTTACAGAGTCCAGTCAGGAGAAGAGTGAAATCAAGTTTTCTTCTTTCAATGAAGAAATAGTTCTGATGTAACTGCCCACTCCTTTATCTGCCAGTACTGCCTCATAGGATACTCATTGGTCCGGAAGTACTATGCAAGGATTGAAGCTTGGCAAGATGGATTCTCATATGATCTTGTGATTTTGCAATCCAACTGCTTCGTGAGGACAGTAAATACCCACGTCTTTAAAACTCCATGTCCCGAGTTCTACTACCTGACTCACACCTGATGGGTCCAAACAACAAGTTATATATCAATAATATATTTTCATGGAATTTATTAAGAAATCTGTCTCTCTGACTATGCCAATTGTCTGTTTCCATATGTTCAGACGTGTAGATGTGCAGTGCCAAGTGGGAAGAGTGGGCGAGTTAACAATCAGTCATAGATGAAATTAAGACAAAACATAGTTCAGTCAGGACCACTTTTGTCAAAATAACTTTTATTCCAAAGCAGAATGTTAGATATGGCAGTATGGCTCTGTTCAGGGACCTCCTTGTCCTTCCACATGCCTACGTGGAAAACCTTAAGGTGTGCATACATGGAAAAGTTTAAGACAAGGAGAGCAGCAGCAGAGACCCCCCCCCATACAAAACAGAGCAAGCATCAATGGCAATCAGAAAATGACATTGATTAATTAGATACAACATAAAAGGAGGAGCTTGGGTGGAGGTGGGTTGCAAAATGGCTTGCAGAGAAAACAGCAAAGATAGGCAGGCTAAAGCAGCTTAAATAAGGCGCCATGAATGATATTTGCCAATTGAATGCTTGAGGGAATCAGCTGAGCTGTCACATGACTATGTATAGTTTTCCAATAGGAAGCTTAGGAGGAATCAGCTGAGCCATCAGCTGATGTGTTTAGCTGTGATCAGCTGATGTAGCCGGAATTGAGAGCTGAGCTTGACTTTGTGGCCTGCCTGAACTAACGCTATGCTTAATTTTTTTGGTCTTTGGTCAAATTCTGTTCTCAAATTTGGCAGCATAAGTCAGGATCTTGGAGACCATCCTGATTAGCCACAATGCCCCCGGTTTGAGTCCTGGGGGCCTTTGTTTGAGTGTTAATCTCCAATTTCCATCCAATATCATGATAGAAATGAAACTACAATGAAGGGTTTGGGTCTCAGTTTTAGGTCCATGCAGACCACTAGTTTCTCACACAGGCTTTCCATTAAAAAGGTGCAGTCTCCAAGATAACCCCAATGACATCAACATCAAAACATTATTCTGTTTTCACAGGCCGAATACTCCCCATGATGAGTAAATTAAACTGATGTGGAAAATCGGTGGAATGCCAAAACCAGTAAACCAGCTTTAGACAAAAGGAAGTGGACGGTGGTGTCCACATAGTTTTGCAACACCAAGGATTGATGTAGTCTTACAACACAGTCAGTATCAAGAACACAGAGAGGCGAAGGTGTGTCTGCTGTGTGTAGCGTGGCCCACTCGTTGTTGATGTAATATGGAGCCAGTGATTAAGGGATCCTGTTTCCTATCAGTGGGATGATGGTTGCTCTCTGAAACAGAACCAGCAAAGGGCCAAATTGTCACTAAGCCGGTGAGTCAGTCTTGTTGTTTTGTCAGCCAATATATCCAGGCAACTAGCCCGTATAACCAGCCATACTGCCAGTGAGTCAGGAGAACCTGCCAAAATATAGCCAGGCAGAGACACATCCATAGCAGGCCAGGCATCCCTTCCACTATAGCTTGTTAATGCCAGTCAGCCAGCCACCAAATCAGCTCTTATAGCCCATCATCTCGCCACCATAGCTCTCTGTACAGCCAAAGAGCCTGCACGCCAGGATATGGAGCAACAGGCAAGATTATAGCTGTGACGGCCAAGCATCAGCTAGCCAGCATTCTTGTCCAAGTGTAGATTAGGGCGGTCAGAGTCTTGGCTTTATTTTAGCATCAACACTAGGTCACTGGGTCTGTATTTGCTTTCTGAGAAAGAGAGAACCACTGAATTGGGTATTAAAATCGAGCAGCAAGGTTGGAGGCATCAGACTATCAGAAAAGGTGTTTTTTTAAGATGTACTCTGGTTTTTAACTCTCTTTTTAGGCCATATCTTCTGTTTGCTGTAATTGTGGCTCCAATCAGCGTTTGATGATAAGGATGGGAGCACTGTAATTTCCATGATGAATAAATTGAACCTTGTGCTATCCAAAAACAGCACAAGGAGCCAACAAAATAACAGAAGCACCTGACAGTATAATGCAACCGTACACAGAAGCCCTCAGATATATAGAACTAGTGTAAAGTAACTGTCTAGGATCGCGTCAAACACGTCTCATGTTTTTGTGATGTGAAGCGACGGACTGTAGCGCTGTGCCCAAGACAGATTTCCCCTCTGGGACAATGTAATTTACTCCACTCTAAAGCAGTCAGTATGATTCACACAAAGTGCTTGTTGGCTTGACAAACAGAAATTGAAACCCATCTTTCTGACCGTGCATGACACGCCATACAAACTAGTTAGTTTCAAGCATACCCTGACCTAAAAATAGTAGTTTGACATTTTGAGAAATATGCTTTTTGAGAGTTAGATGAGAAGATTGAAACAGATTGTTTCATACACTCTTTTATACAGGTTAACTAGCTGTTTTCCCCTTTTTCAGTGTGTGTCAGGGTTGCCAATTGTCCCGTAAAATAAGGAATCATCCCGTAAGTGAAAACTAAAACGTATCGAACTGATACTGGACGCGGTTCGTTCCTTATTTTTAAAAATCAATTCAGGTCAGATCTATGCAAAGGGATATTCCAATAAGACTATAAGGACAGGTCTGTCATGTTATGTTTCACTAACAACCTACTCAAATGACTCAAGCTTTACCATACGCCTGACAGCCGTGCTATATTTAAAAAAATTGGAACCTACAACCTATGTCCTAAGGGAGCCGAAGTCTGCCAGCAAAAAAAAAAAAGATTACATAAATAGCGAAGGGAAAAAAAACATCAAATATTTTGTATAGGTCCACTGTAGTTGGAGCTTGTCAGATGGTTTTGATTGGTGCAACCCAGGAACGCAACGTGGGATGTTGATCCAGAAACTGTCCTTCTTGGCTAATTCATCATGCATACTTCCACTCCATTCCTTATTTGAATTTCAGAAAATTGGCAACTGTAAATTAAGCTAACTGGTTTCTGGCTAAAGTTGAACAGATATGAGAGTGGTATTGACCTTCTCATCTAACTCTTAGTAAGAAAGCAAATAAGTGCCTTTCCCAAAATGCTGAACTATTCCTGTGAGCCTTATGTGGTTTCATTGCATTGATGGATTACTGCATTGCAGGGCTTCCTGATATTTTGTCGACCCCAGTATTTGACATTCAGCACCTCGAAACTATGAGGCCGTAAGTGTAAAAAGCTGCCTTGTTAGTCCTAAGAGAAGAATTATGGCTAAAACCTGCAGTTAGTGGAGCACAAAACCTCAGAGTTGAAAAGTACACGCCATCTTTTTTTTCTTCTTTTTCATCATTATCTAATACAGTTCTATTCTTTGCCACATCCATGGCGAATATTAAAGATATTAAAGCCACTGGCTATATATTCATCATTTCTAACCACATTGTCTTCACAGCCCTCTGTTTATGAGGCTGCAGCTGAAAATGAAAATATCTTCACGGCACTGGAGCTTAGCTCTTGACTGTTTATCAGGAAAAAAAAACTGCCTGAGAAGCCAAGATGAAAAAGAAAAGCAGGAAACAAAAAGAGAAAACAAATTGTGAGCCTCCCATCGCTCACTCTCTCGCGGTGGTCCGTCATCTCTTCGCATCTTGCTTGCACACTTTGATGAGGAAGAGGAGAGGGAGAGGAGGGAGAAAACTTTCTGATGTTTTTCCTATTTAATGTTTCCGTTTTATCTCCCTCGCTTTCATGCCTTGGACCGCGGAGTGCTGTTGAGAGGCGACGAGGCGTTGCGGGTGTTTAATGGGTTTTTCGTTTTGAGGAGGCTGAAGAGTTTATCATCGGGGAGTAGTCAGGTTTTTAGGCCCTTAACCTCTCTCCACATGTCTGTAATTTAACATTGTTCAGAACCCAAGGGTTAGTGTCTTAAATGCCCAGGAGGTTCCTGTGTCGACGTTGATTACGTCTTTGGTGGGAAGACAACCGCTGGGACTTTGGTTCGAGTTGTTTGAGTACGATAGAATCTCTCTGGAGGCTGCTATGAATGCAGACCTGGGTGTGTTGACATACTCTACATGTCTGGTTTTGGAAGTATGAAAAAAAAAGAAAAACAACTGCAAATGCATACTAAAATAATAAAACTTTAAAATACTATGTACTCATGTCGACCACTGAGGAACGTTCCTGTGCGATCCGAGTTGTGCAGTTGTGTTTGATGTTCCTCTGCAGCATTCGCGG